TCATTCATTGCCTAGTTCATTCCCTCATAAAATAATTTAAGCACACAAGCTCCTACCTTTTGTCTTTTTCTTCAGTTTTCAAATGTTGTTTCATGTCAACAAAATGCTGCAATGTTCTGATTTATCTTGGAGCCAATGGAGACAATAAATAGGAAACATATTACTGGAACAAAGACTGATGAATAGATTCACAAAAACATACAAATTCACAATGAACCATATACACATTTTTCGATTCTGTTCTGTACGCACGAGCACACAAAAAGAAACCCATCTGACCCCTCTGAAGACAGCAATGTATTAAATCCAGTAATATCATGTAGCCTACAAATTCCTTAAGTCCTCTTATCTCCCGCATATGGCTCTTGATCTTCTATAATGCTGAATTAAGATAAGGACCGGATCAGAATAAAACTTGGTTTTGACTTGGGAAAATAAGGACCCAACCAGAAAACCTTATCATACACCTAGAAATAACTTAGAACACCCTTTGCAAACACCTAGCAATATCCTAGCAGTGCCTTAGCAACCACTCAGAACACTTTAGAAACCACATTGCAACACCCAAAACACCCAATGCAGTGATGCACCAGCACCCAAAACACCCTAGCAACCTCATAACAGCACCCTAAAAGTTCTACCCAGAACAACCTACAACACCCTACCAACAACATGGGAACACCATAGCAATGCTGTAGCAACTACCCATAAATCCCCATCAATGACCTAGCAACACCCTAACAACAGCTCAGAACACCCGAGCAACACTGTAGAAATGCACTAGCAACCACTCACAACACCCTAGAAGCTACATAGGATCACCCTAGAAATTCTGTAACAACCACCTAGCAAGGCCCTAGCAACAAAATAGCAATACCCTAGCAATTCTGTAGCTACCACCCAGAAAACTCTATCAACCACCTAGCAACACCAAGCAATGCCACCCACTCAGAACTAGGGTTGCGAAGGGGCAGAACATTGGGGAAAATTTCAGAAAGTTCCCAGAAATTTACTTGCCATTTTCTGTCCCTTTGCAACCCTACTCAAAACTCTCTAGCAATTCTGTAGCTACCACTCAGAAAACTCTATCAACCAGTTAGCAATGCCCAAGCAGTCACTCAGAAACCCTAGAAATACTGTAGCAACCAACCAGAAAACCAATCACCTTGCAAGGCCATCAGAAAACCCCATCAACCACCTAGCAACACCCTGCCAATGACATGGAAACACCATAGCAATTCTCTAGCTACCACCCAGAAAACGATATTAACCACCTAGCAACGCCCAAGCAACCACTCAGAACACCCTAGAAATTCTGTAGCAACCAACCAGAAAACCAATCACTTTGCAAGGCCCTAGCAACTCCCTAGCTACCACTCAGAACACCTAAACAACCACATAACACAACATAAATTATGTTAGTAACAGACTCGCCCTGACAACCACTGACATTTATTTTTTCAGCAAACGTAGTATGATATGCAATGACAACATAGTTCTTGATGTCATTCCAGCATAGAATGCTATAAGGAATATCTAATATGATGCAATTTCCCCCCCACGACCTCTATGTGTGCAATTACACCTTAATTTTTCCATCAATCTTTGAAAGAAATCAGCAATCAGCATAGAGATTCGATTTGGCAGTAATAGGTGACTCAGTATTGGAGTTAATACAATCGTAGAGAGAGAACGCTAGCACATCAAGAGCATTTTCCTGAAGTTATTGACAGGCGCACAAACTCAGCAGAATTAGCATGTGTGATACTAGCATCCCGGGTAGCTTTGAGAGCCCTGTGGGTTGGCAGGCAGCGCTACGCAGGTTTAAGAGCGGCTTCAACGAGTATTTGTCAGCTTCCTCAGCACTTTTTTCCTCTACAAAATGAGCAGGAAGAGATTCAAACAGTCAGCAATTCCATTCCAGACTCCATCCATGAACATGGAACAGTCACATCCTCACATCCCTCCAGCAAGCTTCACATAAACACGAGGAGCAGAGGCCATCGGAAGTCATATGGGTCTTGTTTTAGTCCGTGTTCTCAGTTAACTAATGTCTGTGAGTAATGCTGACATTGAGGAGTGACAGAGCAAACTGAAAATAGCTTCTGGGTATAAAATAAGTCAGAGAAGCAAATTCATCTGACCTAAACAGAGCACTCCTACATTTGGTATGACCTCCCAAAAAAATATCCAATGGAATCAAACAAATGGATATCCAAATATCCAAAATCCAAACAAATGGAATAAGAAATAGCTTATTTTTTATAAAAAAGTGATGGAGATTTACCACTGATTACAGAATGGCTTTACTGACAAGATGCGCGTTAAACATCGCATGCGATTTATCGTGCAGCCCTAGGTCTGAGTGCTTTTTTTTTTTTAGTATGTTAACTTCCTCCCCTTAATTCTTGTGTCTTAAGCACATACACTGTTAAAATAACTGAAACAGGGTTCAGTGACCAATCAAAAGATCTTTCACTCTCTACACTTTCCGTGTATAAACGAACATTCAGAAGATTAAGAAAATGACATAGCCTACTGCATGCTCAGATGCAAATGTCTCTTCAGGTGGAGGTGGTTTATTCGAGCCCCTGCATTACCCTTTTCTGAAACACTGGGCCTGGTAACGTAGCGTGTGATTAGCTGGAGTGGTGGAATTGGATTGAATTTCAATTACTGCATGTCTGGTCACGTCTGAGAGAGTCACACCTGGGTGAGGAAAGAGGCCACACGTTCACAGTCACACAAGGGCCACGGCTCTGATACGCTGGAGAAAGAACTTCACAGGTTTGCGACGCCACTTTGATTTCCATTGTTGAACAGGTCAAAGAATTTTCCACACGAAGAAGAGCACAAATTTGTGAACGGAAATGTGCATGTGTCAACAGTGGTGGAGCAACTAGCTAAACATAACAGCGCTATTAGCTTAGCTATTACTAGGCTAACTATATTACTTTGAAAAATTGTTTATATCCCTAATTAATCCCTTAACCATGGTAAAATCATGGTAAGACTGCCTCTCATGGCTTATTTCTTTATTATTCGGAGTGCCCCCTTAATATAGTATCTGTAAAAAGCTAATGCAGTTAGCTACTTTATGTCAGTAACTTGCTATAAGCTAAACTATGAGTTACTGATATATCAGTAGTTATATAGTAGTATATCAGTAACTATAATCATAGTTTAGCTTATAGCAATTTATGTTGTATTATTCATGTGTCTGCACATGAATGTCTCGTAAATGTCTGTGGCTATTATTATATTAGCTTTATGACCCAAGCAATACATGGACACACGTAAACTCCTGGTACGATTGTGCTTTCAATAGAGAAATAACATTCTATTTTTCTAAATAACTAATACTATCTATGTAATACTATTAAACACTAATATTTAAACTATTAAAATTATAAAAATACAAATATTTGAAATATATATAATATAATATAATATAATATAATATAATATAATATAATATAATATTATGAAGTGTTAGTTAAAACTGTGTCTGAGTGCAGAGGATGAGAGATTGTAGGTGTTTATGGAGTGATTCTGATTGAGACGGATCCCTTCTCTTGACATCTGGTCATCAGAAACTATAGAGGAAGATCCTTTGGGTTTTACACACACAAACCCACATTTACAAACCAGATTCTCTTCCGGAAAGGTTTAATAATTTAGTTATTTGCCGTTGTCACAAAGCATGACATGCTATTTACATAAAACTGAAACAAACTTTTCCAGCTTGATATTTTTTTTTCCGTAAGCACCTGATTTGACTTGCTATTTGTTTTTCCCTGGTGGACAACAAATCAGGTGAAAAAAATAAAAAGCCTAAAATTACAGTATCAACAACAAAGAAATGTTTGGAAAATTTCAGTCTTGTTTTCATGAGCTGATGTATTGATTGTGAGTAGGGTCAGACACGCTGCAGTACATCTGCAGTACACTTTGTCTCTTTCTATTCACACAGTTCTCCATTAAAATCAGCTGCGCTAATAGCCTGTGAGAGGACTGAAAGTGTCCTTCCTCTTCTTCTCCCGTCCAGCATGAGCAATCCACAGAGCCGTACATCAACTGACGGCAGCTAATGGAAGTAATCCAAGTTGATTAGCAGAGACCAAAGCCATCACTTCTTTTAACACCCCACTGCAAATGACACGGAGACTAAAAAGATGGTGTAGAGATGGAGTATTTTCTCAAAGAAAAAAAAAAGGTGAAAAAAAATATATATATAATTTTTATAATAAAGAAAATGGTCAAAAAAAGGAAAAAAAAATAAATAAAAAAAGGCTAAATATTTTATTTTTAACAATTTATAATTATTTTCAAATTTAATTTTAAAATATACTATTTACTGTTACTATTAATATATTTTTTTCACACAAATACAACATACCCATTTAAAAAAATCATTATAACACATGTACAAATAAATCTCAATTAATAAATATTAGAAAAAGAGAGAAAGACAGAGAGAGAAATTTAATAATCATAATACAATTCATAATAAATAAAACTATATACATTGCTAAAATATATTTAGTTTTATTCATTTACATAATTTTGTTTGTTTGTTGCTTAGTTGTAAGGCAAAATAGTGTTACAAATAACTTTAACCATGTAAAATCAAATGGAACATTACATTGGACAAATAAAAAATAAAATAAAATGAAATGAAATGAAATGAAATAGAGATATAGGTGGACGGTTGGATTACAACAAATAAAAGGGAACAGGAAATACAATAGAAATACAGGAGGAAATACAGAGAAGTGGAAATACAGACAATAGAATACAGAGAATACAGGGAAGAAGCATGGAGAGAGATAGTTTGCCATGCATGAAGGTCAAGTTGGCAGGACGCTGTATGCAGACTCACTGATACACTGAATATTTTGCCTGCAAGCGTACAAGTTAAATTCACTCCACCTGCTTTTCTATTGCTGACTATTTCTTTTTGTGTCATCTTCTCATCTCTGCCTCTATCGCTCTCTTAGAACGACTCCTGGGGAAAGCAGTACTCTTACGCACTATTTAAGGCCATGAGTCACATGTTGTGTATCGGGTACGGAGCTAGAGCGCCCGTCAGCATGTCGGACCTTTGGATCACCATGCTAAGTATGATTGTGGGCGCCACCTGTTACGCCATGTTCGTGGGTCACGCCACAGCCCTCATCCAGTCTCTGGACTCATCTCGACGGCAGTACCAGGAGAAGGTAAGTGCAGCCTCATTGGTTTCATTCACCTGGCTGCGTTGTTTGCAGGTATTCACATGTTATTTTGATATTTACACCACCATGCCTTCACTGGACGTGCATGTGATGGTACAACATCTTGACAGCGTAGTAATCTGTGTCATCATCATGTATCACATTATGAGCTCATTGCTCATCAATCATTCAAGAATGACATCAATATTGATCGCATGTCAAAGAAATTCTACCTCTGCTACATGCATTGCATGCTTCAGACAACATGTACAGGTTGATCTACATCTACAGGGCTAAAGTTATTGGACATGTTTGGATGAGCGGTATGACCAAAATGAGCCATTTTGTATCATCGCAAATGTATATTACAAAAAGATAATAATAATTGATATAATAATAATTGGAAATTATATTTCATAATTATTTTATTGATAATTATTAATAATTATTTATATTTTTGAATAACCAAGACTATGAATTACTATTAATATTAAATTGTCTTAATATTGTTATACAAAAATATTAATACCATTATTTGAAAAATTATGAAAATCTTCTTTTGTATTATTGTTATTGCTGTTATTATTCTTGAATAATCAAGAAAATTGATTCTTATTCATTAGAAATAAGTATTCGTTATTATTCCAAAATATTATGATTAAGTTGTATTATTATTATTATTATTATTATTATTGAATAATCAAAGAAAAAGGATTCTTATTAGTAATTAATATGCTTTACTATCCAAAAACAAATTTGCTTTATTATTATTAGTATTATTATTATTAACAACAACAACATTAATAATAATAATAATAATAATAATATAAACAAGGGAAATAAAATATTATTAATTAGTTATTATTATTATTATTATTTAGAACTGGGAGTAATGGTTGTAGTAGTAGTAATAATAATAATAATAATAATAATAATACAATTATTAAATAAATGTTAATTTGTAATTCATATTCTTGGTTACAATTATTATTATTATTATTATTATAATTTTTAAGAACTAGGGATAGTAATAATAATAATAGTAACCAAGAATATGAATTACTAATTAACATTTGCTTTATGTTGTGTTTTAATTATTTTAATAAATAATAATAAATTACTTAATACTAAATATTAAAGCATTATTTTACTATAAAATATTTATTATTATTATTATTATTATTATTATTTTAATCACTTTTAATCAAGTAAAAGTTTTTAAAAAGTCTAGTTTTTAAAGTCACTTCACATCACATTTGTAGTTTCTCCCACACATTCTGCTCTATTTTTTCTCATATTATATTGTCACTCTCACTTGTAAACAGCATACAGCAATAGCAGCAGAGACACATCTACCGCGTGTGTAATTCTCACCTGCACAGGTTTCTGAACCAATGCTGTCACTGCTTGACACATTCCTGCAGTTCTCTGACCTCAGCTGTATAGTTCATTACTAAGCTCAATCGAGGACTGTGATACTTAAGTCATCAACTCAGAGATGCCACTGTATATCGATTTCATTTCCTCTAAACAGTATGCCACTTCCTCCCTGAGAAACCATGAGAGGATGGATTGGCAGATTATCCCTCATTCTAGTGTCTTGTCTTTGAGTGCTTGTTGTACCGTTAGTGGATCATTATATCCCTGTGCTTTCAAAGAGGATTTATTCCAAGTGAACGACAAAAACTCTCTCTCCGGGCCAAAGCATGCGCAAGGGGAGCCAGAGCTGCTTTGTCCCATGAGAGAAGGGGGGCTTATCTCATCTGGGCTTTGTTTGGGTAGCAAACCCGACCTCAGTGAGCTGGGTTAACATCACAACACACACACAACGTCATACCAACATGAGCCATCAGGTTCTCCGTTTAATGCAATTACAGTGGATGAGTGGAAAGACGAGATTGAAACAGAGAGAATGGGATTGTGCTCCAGGGAGCTGGCACAGAATAAATGAAAAAGAAAACGTACACAACTGTCAGAGAAAGATTGGAGCTTTTAGTAAGCTTATCACGGGGCAGTATCCTCAAAAACTGAATATTTGCACCATATCTACAATGAATTTGTACCTTTTAAAAGGTACTGACCCAGTAAAAAGATGTTGTACCTCTTTTTCTGACCGTGTACCACCAGTGAAAAGTTTGAATACACACTTAGTAAAGAAATATAAAAAATGGGACCTTTTTAATATCTTGACTTTTTTTTCTCAAGAGGTTAAATAGAGAGAAAATTGAGACTTTTTCTTAGGTTTCTCAGATGTTCCTTTAGAAAAAGAGCCCAGTAACTGAGTCTTACTTCTAGAGGTGTTGAAGAGATCTCAACAATGTCTCAAAGATAAGTTCTGAAATCAAGAGTCAGTGAACAAATGAAGACTTTTGCTGAGGTTTCTCCAATGTTTCCTGAAAAAAATACCCCTGTAGCTTCACTCTTCAAGAGATTTTAAGAGATCTCAAACTAAACTCAGATTTGACAAATCTGCAAAAGTCTGCAATCAAAATAAACACATTTCTCATTAAATTCTTCCAAGACCAAGATTTGAGCTACCTATACTATCCACATACATATTATTCAAAAGTTTGGGTTAGTTTTTTAATTGAATTGAATTGAATTGAATTGAATTTAATACTTTTATTCAGCAAGGATGCATTATGGTTATTAAATATAAAAGTAAAACTTTTACATTGTTACAAGTATATATATACATTTCAAATACATGGTAAAATATTAACACACCTTCAATAATAAGAAATGTTTTTAGCAGCAAATCAGCATATTATAATGATTTCTGAAGGATCATGTGACACTGAAGACTGGAGTAATGATGCTGAAAAATTCAGCTTGGACATCACAGAAATAAATTTCATTTAAAAATAGTTATTTCAAATTGTAATAATATTTCAGTATTTCTGTTTTTACTGTATTTCACTGTACTGTATTCATCAAATAAATGAAGCCTTGGTAAGAGACTTTCAAACACATTAAAAATACCCCCAAACATTTGGTATTGTAGCTTTAAACTTTAAACTCGTACTGTATATCAAATAATTTCTCTATTGTTTGCATTTCTATTTCTCCTATGAAACTTAACACCGGAGACAAAGCTGATACTTAAATGAGACACTGACAACTGACAGTTATGAAACAGTTACGAGGAACCCCTGTGCAAAAAAAAAAATGTTATATACAATTTCTCTTTGTCGACAAAATCAAATTAATGCATAAGCATAAACTTATGCATTCCAAAAAAAAATGTTTGCATTTCTTTATCAAGTGCACTATAAGCTGCCTTTGGAAATAAAATATCTGCTAAACAACCAACTAAATGTCAACATCCTCTAAATTTATTGTAGTAGCATATACACATTCCGACATACGATCCAATCAATATCCAGAGATATTTTCAGTGTAGCTCATTTGTGATGCTGTTACAGGGTTTTAAAATACCATCTAGGAGTTTACTCGCATTCAAAAAGTTGCATTTTCTCATTACAGCCGGCCCTTGCATCTTCTTGATTGGCAAAGCCATTTAGCTGAAACCCTTTAGCAGAACAAAGTGTGGGATTTCCAAGCTAATGCGATTCCTTGACTCTGAAAAAAAATGTTATATACAATTTCTCTTTGTCGACAAAATCAAATTAATGCATAAGCATAAACTTATGCATTCCAAAAAAAATGTTTGCATTTCTTTATCAAGTGCACTATAAGCTGCCTTTGGAAATAAAATATCTGCTAAACAACCAACTAAATGTCAACATCCTCTAAATTTATTGTAGTAGCATATACACATTCCGACATACGATCCAATCAATATCCAGAGATATTTTCAGTGTAGCTCATTTGTGATGCTGTTACAGGGTTTTCAAATACCATCTAGGAGTTTACTCGCATTCAAAAAGTTGCATTTTCTCATTACAGCCGGCCCTTGCATCTTCTTGATTGGCAAAGCCATTTAGCTGAAACCCTTTAGCAGAACAAAGTGTGGGATTTCCAAGCTAATGCGATTCCTTGACTCTGGAAAACATCCATGGCTCATGCGTACCATCAATTTCCCTGTCATGGCCGCCGTGCACAGGCTTATCTGAGTTGCACACGTAGCTGGTGTCACCTTCACCGTGACAATGACACAGCGGTCTGAAACGGACAAAGGGCTTTGGTGAATTTACATCTCTCTGCCTGTCCCAGCACGGACTCTTATCTCCAATTTAAATATGATTTTTTGACCTTGCGGTGGCCGTGTAGCATTCGACACAAACGAGACATGCGTTCCTCTTCCATTTAGGATCGCAATGTCACCGCTGTGGTTTCATCCCGCCATAATGCCAATTAAAATCTGGCTCCATTGCAAATGGATATTAGATACGGCTCCCCTGCCCAGAGATCTGCAAATGGCATTCATATTGAACGGGCCTTTCAGTGGTCACTATATATAAACAGCGGAGGTCAAATGAAAAAGCCAATGTCACTGGCCCATACTGCCGAGAAGAACAGCATCGCTGAACGCCAGCATGCGGTATGTCTTATTTTGGATACTGGTGTGCTGATGTCCCAATCAGGCTGCTTAACTAGCCTTTTACAGAGCAAACTATTTGACAGCTAAAGCTCTGCTTGGTAATTAAAGCACTACAGCTAAAATATCAAAACTAAAAAAAAGAATACATGAAAAAAATCTAGATACTAGTTGAGCACTAACCTGGCTAATTGGGATGCTAAAATCTAATGAAAATCTAATGAACTGCCTTGCTGTGTATTGCTTATAAGATAAAACAGAGAAAAATTGTGAATTTTCAGTTATACTGAGTATTTTTATCAATACTATTTACTATTGAATGAATTACAATATAAAATGAAATTAAGCATATTTTATCACAACTCTCACAGTCTTAGATTTATTATTATTATTATTATTATTATTATTATTATTATTATTATTATTATTATTATTATTATTATTATTATTATTATTATTATTATTATTATTATTATATTTTTTCTCATTTCTTTTCACTTCCTTA